GTCAATTTAACATCTAAGAATTTTTTCATTCACATTATACGAACAAAAATGTTTTATTAACATTTTCTTACGAGTTACTGCAACTACTCTTCTATGTATTCTACTTATTTTATATGTTAGTTTTAAATCATCCTTAAAATCAAAATAACAAATATAAATGTAAAGTATTGTGTCAATTATTTAACATTATTAGTTCGTTAATAAATAACACAAGACGAATGAGTTACTTTAACTTAAAATGTAGAGTGGATCTCCTGGGACATGTAAAAAATGTTAAAATTAACATTTTCTTTTTTACTGTGTAGTCGGTTCTTATTTTAAGATCGTCTTAAGTAATGTCTTAAGACGATAAAGCGGCTCTCTGATTGGTTCATCACATTTCAAGATTGAACTTAAGACTTGAATATAAGAACTAATGAATCTTGAATACAAGACTATGAATACCGGCCTAAAGGTTACCAAGAAATTTATGAATAAATTTCATTGAAAAATCTTTTGATAATCTTTAATCCTTAGGTAACCACATATTATAAAAATGGAAACCTAAGAGTAAGATTTCACTCTGCAGAGTAAGATTTACTCTAAAAATTTTAGAAAAAGTAAAAACCAATTTCTATTCAAATCCTTGTAAAATATTATATCAAATGTTTAACATATTCGAATGTTAATTTAACATAATGTGAACATGTTATTTGAATATTTTGTATTAAATTGATATTCGATATTTCTTAGTGTCAAAATAACTAAATTGATAAAAGAACTGCAAATAACATAAATAATATATTTTGAAATATAAATTTTAAGAGATAAGTGAATAAAATACGTGTTAATTTAATATATCATAAGTATTAATTTCATCAAAAAATTTGTTTCCATAGATTGTGTATAAATTATATTAGTGCTACATTTTTTGTGTTAATTTTCTTACATAATTTTTTTTTTGTTATTTGTTATTTTCTAATATATTCATCTTATGTTAAATTAATGCAAAAATTTAAATGGATCATTTAGAATACATAAAATGTATTAAATTTAATACAAATTTTGCATTGTGTACAATAAATGTCTCACAATTGTTTTTGTAATTTAAAAATATTGAAAATTAAATAGCTTGCGCGAAAACGGAGCGTGTAAATAAACAAAACGATTACGCGCGATATTCCCGAAACTTTTAATAATCTCTCAATTATCCCCGTACAGCAAATTCACCTCGAAACACCATATATCTGACGGACACCTGTCCTGGAATAAAGGGTAGATGGGTAATTATGATAAATCGTTCTATGATTTCGCGCGGGGTGGAAACAGGTCGGTCCGACGTTAATACGTTGTGCACATAATATCGAAATAGCGTGGAGTACAACAGTGCAATTCTGCATTATCAAAACCGAATCTCGCGGCAGTATAATGAAAATCGAGTCATGGATTCAGCGAAATTTTAGCAAGATCCGATGTTGTAAATTAAATGTGAACGTATCATTCTTCACGTTGAAACCGTATTAATACGCTATTGCGAACTTCAAATATAATATGCATCATGTAAAATGCTAGCAGTTTTCGACGTTGGGATTTTATTTCAATTAATTTACAACTTGATTTTTCTTTCATCGACTCGTTGAAAATATATTTCAGAAAAGCTAACAACGTTTTAGTTTTAATTTACAACATTTTAATTTCGAATAACTTTAATTCTGATCTATTAACGTATGTTTAATGCTAAAAATTGAGAAATATAAAAAAAGTTAATTTAGCAAATTTTTTGTCAAAAGCTTGATGTCAATCTCATTAATCTTTTCATTAACTTCTAAGTTGATAAGTGGTTTAGAGATACACAAATTGATAAGTAGAATACCCATAATATCACAAAAAAATTATTAATTTTATAGTTATGTTTTTTTAATATATTATATACAGTTAAATTTATATTAATTATACTCTTATGAAATAGACTCTATTTAATAGAGGAATATAAAAATAATGAACTTTAAGATTTCTGGATATCTAGGCAATGATTTTTATTTTCCTTTTCTAAATAAATTTGAAAAATTTGTGTTAATTTTAACACATTTTACGTGTCCCAAGTAGTCCAATAAAATTTTTGTGTTAATTTAATATAAGATAGATGTATTATAGAAAGTAAATAGATATTATGTATAAAAATTAACACAAAAAACTGTAACATTGACACAATTCGTAAGTAAATTGTAGAAGCATATTTTTTCAATACAATTAACATTTATAATATATTAAATTATAATATATTTTATTCATTTATATTAGAATTTATGTTTTAAAGTTATATTTGTTATCTGCTCAATTATTCGTAGATTGTATTATTCTCACACTAAGAAATGTTGAATATCAATTTAACAAGAAATATTTAAATAACATAATCATATGTCAAATTAACACTCGAATATATTAAAAATTTAACACAAAATTTTAACAAAGACTAAGACCATTTCCAACACAAATACAAAATGTTTCTTATTATATAGAATGTTATGACCATACATGCTTATCCACTTAAAGATTAATAATTTAATAAATGAAATTTTTCGTAAATAAATTTTGAATAAAAATTTTCTTCCTTTTAGTATCGAATATATATATGTAGAGGTATTAGTAAATTAATTATCGCGTTACATTTTAATCGAGAACTGCCCGTAGATATATATGTAATTAAAATTAGCCTCACCACGGACTATGACCTTCTTGGATTCATCTCGACTGGAACACCTCGAGAGACCGCTATTGCCCGTCAAGGGGTCGTTACCCTTGTCCGCCCTGACGAGCTCGTTGAGGAAGTTTATGTAACCGATTGCCAGCTTCAGCGTGTCGACCTTTGACAGCCTCTTCTCGTACGGCAAGGTTGGTATATGAGCCCTCAAGCCCTCGAAGGCATCGTTTATGTTCTGCATTCGTCTTCGCTCCCTCATGTTCGCCGCCTGCCGTTGCTGAACCTGGACCTGTCTCGGACATTTTCCCGATGGTCCGCCGCGCCGGTTACTCCGACTTCGTCTACGGGCAAAAGTGACAAACCGATTGCTGTATGAATTTATAAAGCGATCAAAAAATTTTGATTTCATTCATAATTCGATATTCAAATGCTTTAACATTATTCATTTATGAAGTATCAACTTTGAACATTTTGACACTTGAAATCATTATTTTTTTAAAATTAATAGCAAATCTTATCGAATTTTAAGTCAAAGGACCTCGCATTAATTATATAAAAAAATAGACCTCGGTGAAATGAATTAATTTTCACATATTATTTAGCAGATTTAGCTTATAATGTAATCAACAAGGCATGTCACAGACACAAGGCTTAATAATGAATACTTTTTTTAGTTATAATGTATCAAAAGTACTTCGTAAACACAAGTTTTACCCCACAATTCAAAAACTATTCATTATTGAACTTTGTAACTACAACTTTTGTTTACTACAAATAAGTTATAAGCTACATTATATGTGAAAACTAACTTATTTTACCAGAACCCAATTTTTTATATAATTAGTACGGAATCCTTTAAAGATTTAGCAATTTCAAGATTCAAAGAAGAAAGAACTCTAAATTTTTTATAAGACCGAGAAAAAAAATAAATCTGAGAACCCAAAGGGAAAATGTGCTTCACTTCAGGTGCCTTCCATTTAATCACACAAGTCGACATAAATGTCATTCTATCTTTCTTTGCACGAGTAACAAAAACATAACGATACTTCTGTCGACTTGTATCACTAAATGGGAAGCACCTGAAGTGAAGCAAGCACATTTTCTGCATGGTACTGTGACTCTACATTTGAGTCGGAGAAAACCAAACAAGAGGAAATCGGAAGAAAGCAAGCACTTTTGGAGTACTCACTCTCTCGCGTGATTCTCCTGATCGCTGCTGTAGACGCTCTCGTTGTCACTGCTGTTCTCGTCGTAGAGATAGTGCTCGCTACCGCTGGTGCTACCGGTGCTACCGGATGGATGATGGGACGACGGGATCTGCGACGGGATCACCGCCGGAAGCGTCGCCGTGGTGGGTATCCCGCAATGTGGTGGCAATGCCGGAATTGCCGGATTACCGAGGAAGGTGTGCGCTTCATACATGTACTGCCGGTTCATCATATCCCGTTCGAGATTGTCCATCGAATACATAATGACGGTGTTTAACGTCCAGTTCGCGAATAATCACTCAGATTTAATAATTAAAGGTCTCGCGGATATTGATGTACTTTCCTTAATTTAACGTCCCTTATTGGATCCGAAGATCGCTCACTTATTAACTAATTAACGAAAAATACGACTAGATTGTATTGACTAGACGTAGAACGACGAGACCGTCGTGTATCTCACGCCATTTAATTCTTCGCTCTAGACGCTTTGAATGATAATCGTTTAATTATTGGACGAGCTTAGCAACTAAATTTCAAATCCTCGTGTCGAACGATTTCATAGTTTGCCGGAATTTCTGATCGTACCTGCGCACCCTCGAACACGTCTCGAGGATTGAAAGATACGATCGACACGTGCCAGGCGCGTGCAGGATAATATTTCTAAACAGCGGCACGTGTCTTGGCGAACCGCTCCACGTGATGAGATTTGTCCAAACACTTGTTAACACTTGGTACACCTCGAGTTCGTGCTTCGGTTCGTGTCCAACAATGCCACTTACGACATTACGATTTACTACTTACGAACATCATCCCGACGATCTCTTATATTCGCGATGCATCTGTGAGAATAACATCTTATTATATGTTCTTATATTTTTATCCTTTTTCGACTATAAAACTCTCTTATATTTCACGCGGGATTTTAATTTGCTTTCTTGCAGTTGCAAAAGAATGATAGAAATCGAAACATTAATTATATCGGGATTCAATTAGTTACGTTGATTTATAATCTTCTCGGTCATTCCGTGTTGTTGCTGATGTTACACTGCTGTTTTATTATATTTAACGCACAGTTTCATTTATTGTCCTGTTGGGAAAAATTTTTGCGTAAAAATTTTCAAAGAGCTTTTATCGGAAAATATTGCAATTATACGTGAACTCTTTTGCTTTACATATATTTCTTCGTTTATCAATTAAAAATGGCACTCCAAATTACAGTCTTTTTTCGCAACCATTAACGGTTTTTTCAGTGAAGACACACATCTGATTATAAATATTACGATTACATTTGGCCATCTCCTCATCATACAGGTTTTATTTATTTCTGAAATATTTTTAATACGTCATCCTTCAAATTGCATTGATGTTCGAATTGTCCTCCCTCAGATTTATTTATTTATTATAGCGATTTATTGTCCGTGATCGTCCACGTATAATTCTTCCAAAAGAATACAGAGATCACTAAGAAAATTCTCATAAGTCTTAAATCCTGACGGAAGTTCCTAAATTACACTTTGCAATTGCATTAACGCCTCAAATATTTGCGGATTGCTGTCATAACTATCGTCTCTCAGTTTCTATAAAAAACGCAGCGCTGTAATTTGAGATATTTTTCTCTCAAATCTCTCTTTGAATTTCCTTGTTGTTATTTAGTTTCCCTCGCACTCTCACTGACAACTCAGGCATTTCCTCATACATTTGCTCGTCACAAGAAACATCGCTCGTTCCACGATTTTCGTACGATTTTCCGCAGAGTTCACCACCGCGTGACTTCGGGATTATCCCTTAAATGCTTTTCCAGATGTTTGCCGATTTCGCGCCCGAAAACTGGAACCTTTCGCAGCTTCCTGCGGACTTGCAGACCACCTACCGTGCTACCCGATCGTTCAGGTGGTCTCTCGCTGGACTAAAATCGAAAAGCGATGACCAGCAAAGCGGAAGCCATGCCAGGGTTGAAAGCCCAGCTACGACCCCATTCGTCGAGCGCGCGGCTGGCAGAGCCTGCCTACCCCTTGGTTGCTGGGGTAGCGGTGCCGCCTCTTCATCGATCTGATAAGGAACCGCCGTTGTTCCCGTTCCTAGGAACAGCGTCCCGGAACGCTGCCGGGAGAACTACAACCGATCGGAACTTTCTCGAACATGATAAGCTAATTATATATAAAGAAGTTCGCGCGATTTGCGAACAAGAAAATGTTTAAAAATAGATTGAATTTGAAGAAACGAATTGGAACTTTACTGAAACCGGATTCAAAGTAGTCGAACTATAGTGATTTGTTTTGTTTATACCGAGGAAATGTTCATCTGAAATTGTGTAAGATTAAATACTTTATTAAACTGCCGAAATATACATATAATTGAGTTATTAAAATATTCAGATTGAAAGAAGCGTATGCAATAATTAAGATATGCGAAATCGAGATTAATTGAAGAATTTTTGAAAACGTGACAATGATAATTTCTCTGTACATAAATAATATATTATTCATATAAATATTTATTATGATTGCAAAATCAGATATAAATAATGTACACTGAGAAAAATGTCTGGTTGAAAATGGACGAACCAAAAGATTCTGATTATGTTAATTAGAATTTCGGTTATCTTAACTATAATTTTAGTAGATTTGGACAGAAAATTCTAATTCGTTCATTTTTAACTAAAATTCCAATCAATCCAACCAGACGTTTTTGTTAATATACAAAGCTTTTTACGAAATATTTTTTCTGGTTTCACTCTTTATAATTAACGCAGAAATCGTCAACTAATTATACAAAATATATGTAAGATCCAGGTTATTGAACTTTAAATTATACATATATATTTTGTAAGTAAATTTACTAATCCTTTTACTACATTAGAATATTCTTTTAAATATTTTATTCCAGCTTGTTAGAGGTGCTAGTAGAATGATAATGTTTCATTCCAGAGTTGTCAACTGTCTATCAAAACTGTTGTATAAAAACCGCTGCCCCTTACGTTTGGTATCTTCGCGAAAGTTTTTATTGCCGTTAGATGTTGTTCGTTATTTGCGAACTTGGCTAACTATAGGTTTTGCCCATCGAACTTACAGAATTTTCAAGTATCTATAGTCTCTAGCGACTTCATGAATTCGTAATTGCCCGACGGACACGAACGAAAGTCCATCGCAGTGAAGAAAGCCGGCTATAAACTGGCGAGCAAGAGAAACTTATGATGTCAAAAAAGTAGTAAAGTGTATTAGTTACGCTGCTTTCACACTTGTATGCAGTCTATTATCTATATCTATACATACATACTCACATTTCGACTTATTTAATTTATAGGGTAAAGCAAGGTAATTTGGATAGATTAACAAAAATTTTCGAATTGTACGAGAGATTGAGATCGCATAGTGTATTCGATTAAACATAAAAAATATCAAGTGCACAAGTGGACGGCTCACACGAGCCATTTGGTTCAAAACTGGCTCTCAAACAACGTCGATATGTTTTGGTCCAAGGAATTCTAGCCTCCTAACAGCCCAGAGATTTTAATTTTTGAACTACTACGTATGGAGCGTAGTTGAAAGGGTCACCAACAAATCCCAGCATCCCAATGTGACGTCATTAGGGACCTCTATTAAGGCAGCATTCGCCATGGACAGCGCTACGTTACAGCGTGCGTGCGCTTCAGTTCAAGAATAGAGGCCATCATTCAAGCTAATGGGGGATACATTGAATAATTATACTCTATAGGGATATAATATTTATAATGCACAATGTAATACGTAGTTACATACATAATATGTAATTATACACATTCTAATATATTACACTGCCAGAAATTGACATCCCAACACCAAGGAGTTGTGCTAGATGAATGAAAGTTACACAGAATGTTTGTTTACATGAGTTATTATATTGATATCTGTTACAAGTGGAATGCCATTCCACAAGATGACATCCGACACCTCTACGATCGGATGCATGCACGTTTAGAGGCCTGCATTCAATATAGAGGTGACAACAGTGGGTATTAAGTCGGAATATACTTAATGTTTATATGGCGCTACACTCGTATTCTGCGAATTGTGACCTTGTAATAGATATCAATAAAATAACTCATGTGAACAAACATTCTGTGTAACTTTCATTCATCTAGCACAACTCCTTCATGGTGTTGCACTTAAAAAAATATTTTGCTGCTCCAACTAGAATTATAGCTGTTTTTTGTATCTGATAGAAAATTACGTATCATACGCATAGAATTTATAGCACAAATCTAAATTCTATCTCTGTCATCTATATGATTAGATGCAATACATATCTAATATCGCAGTACTTGCTAGAAATTTATCTATTTTAGCTATTTTTTATTCTTAGATAATTTTCGCTGTAACTGCAAGATCACTTTTTTGAGTGTGGGATTTCAATTTCCGGTAGTGTATTATAATTACGTGTAAGCAATTGCGATATATGCAAAATATTTCTTTTATTTTCACACAATTCTTTACTTTCTCTTCCACTCTCTCATTAATTCACTTTTGCACTCAAGTTGCACTCTCTCTCTCTCTCTCTCTCTCTCTCTCTCTCGAAGTTATTGCAAACAATAAAAAGCACATTGTCGGATCACAGATAAGCTCGTAATGGAAAAGAAATCGGTCGCACGTGCAAGTCACGTGCGGCCGCAATGTCGCGGCAAAGGGTTGCGTTCCAGGTTAACCACTTCGGCGACATTTGGCCCCGTCGAGCAAACCTGTAATTATGCGTACCGTAACAGGTATGATCTGATTTCTCTAACACATTATTAAGCGTCAGATAATAATGCGGCTCGCAATATGTTTGCCGGATGCACGCTCCGTTTTCTAACCCGACAATATTTACTGTAATTTTATATAAAAGGCACGTGCAGGGAATAAAAAGGAAGTGTCACCTGTTTTGAATTGAATGTATTTTTATCGTGAAAATCATCTCGAGAATCATATAGAATTCATATCGATTGTAACAGAAGGTGTACAAAGAGGGAAAGTTATTTTACAAATAAAATAAAACTCCAGCAATTGTTTATATTACGGAAGAGCTTCATGAAATTTATAAATGAATATTATAAATGAAATATAAATTGATATATCTTTCAACGAAAATGATTTAATACCTTCGAAACGATAAAAATATTGATTTGTATTTTTTCCTGCAATAATTGTGATATGAAAATTATTTTCTTAGCGACAGTAATAATTACTTATTTATATTATTTAGAATTATTACTAGACTTATTTATTACAATATTTACTACAATACTATAATAATTATTTTTTATATCGTATAACGAATAATCGTATTAAATTATAACTTTTTTGTTTTATATATTTTATAGGATTTAAAACAGTATTTTGATATTCAATAACACATAAATTCACAGAAGAGGTTTTCTTTTTGTTTTTGATAATGCCGACAGCTAATAAACTAAGCCCTGTTACAAATATCCTTACATTTCCGAATGATTTCGGACCTCCTCTATAACACACTGGTAATTAGCAGTCCCGAAATAACGAAGTGAGGGTACGTCGAACCCGGATGAGTTATAGGTCCATCTGTGATGCTTCTCTGGAAAGAATCGGGAAAACGGTGTTACCAGTTCCCACGATTGTAATTAATATCCCTATTCGTTAATAACTGCATCTTGTGTTAACGGTTTTCGCGTGTGATATCACACGTGTTAAAATAATTAATATATTTAAGCTGGTGTTTTACATTAGTGACGTATGTAAAATAACTTCTAAAAAAAAAAGATTTAATTTAAATTTCATTTAAAATACAATAATTTGAAAAATAATTAATTTGAATATAAATATAAAAATATGAAATTAAAAATCTAGCTAAAAAAATTTGTCATTAATATTTCAATAATTATCATAAAAAATTTGCGTTTTATAGTATTATAAAATATTATTTATAATTAATCATTATCATTAAATTATATTTAATTTGTTGCTTTAGAACTCATTTTATAATTCATGTCAAATTATTGGATAAAATTTTAATTATAATTTTTA